CTCTCTTATTTTGCTGTTTTCCTTTTCATTACAATTGATTCGTAATGAAAGTTTTCTTACTTTTGCTGTTCCAATTCTCTCCCCCATCTCACCGGGGTGGGGGGGGGAGTGAGCGAGCGGCTGTGTGGTGCTCAGTTGCCGGCTGGGGTTAAACCACAACAGCATATTAGTAACGAGGACTCCATGAAAAACTTCAGCTGTGAATACCAGAGGTGTATGATGTTGCACTGGCTGCTGTTTTTTTAGGACTGCGTATACCTGCACATCTTAGTCTACATTACTGCTGTACTTCAATCTGCCCTAGTATATGTAATTTAGTCACTCTGGATTTTTCCAGCAGTACATACGAAATGCAGTTTACTCTGAGTGATAATACAAGAGGCACCAACTAATGATTACAGGTAGAGAAAGGCAAGGATGCACAAGACAGATCTTACGATCTATTTTAGGTGATGATGTAGCTCTCATATTGTTGCACAAGAGTTTCTTATGCTCTTTGACAATCACACCACCTTCATCGATGGACCACATATCCTTACCTTCCTCTTTCTTACCTTCCTTTCCTAAGAGGATCACATGGAAACTTAAACACATTATCTAACTTTAAACTCCTGACATTGATAAAGGAGATTTGAATGAGAAGAGAGTTAGAGAATGGAGCGAAGTCTATGCACAGATGGTGAAAAGGCGTAAGAGAGAGGTGTGGAATAGAGAAACAAAGAGACCTGAAGATCTTTTCTGCCATCAGCCTGACTAGCTTTTTGACTGGAACACGGGCACTTCCATGACTTTTCAAACACCCAACTTGTCACAACATAGCACAAGGAGATCTACAGCATAAATGATCCAAATCCATAACCACAGCTTTCCAAGTGGGAGTTAACAGACTTTGGGATACCAGCAAGTGCAGGGACATGATTATTTGTTACAATTTTTTTCTGTATTGGGCTTCTTCAAAATTAAAATAGGATTATTCATGATTCGTCTCTCCTCCACCAGCTACTGAAGCATCTTCATTTAAAGAAAAAAGCATTCACTTCAATGTTAAGTGCATGCATGAATGAAACATGCAACTAAAAGACATTTAATGATATTTGCACAAATACTTTCTAGCAATCATTCTAATTTTAATTATCTAGTGGATGAACCCTGCCTCTGAACAAGTCAAATGGTGTTTTGCAGTCTGTCCCTAACTCCGTGGGCTGTGTCTCCTAGTTCAAACCTGCTTTGCAGCTTTCGCACTAATATTTTTCATTTGGCACCCTAGCTTTACAGCCTCTCAATTTTTTAGTCTGTTTTCGATTTCTAAATGCTCTTTGCTTCTATCTATACAATCAAACACAGTGCACTCAAAATAAAATGTGGGATATAAATACGTGAAAATAAAATTCAGGAAAGTTGCAAGCAATTTTTCCAGCAAAAAATACTACATGTTCAAAAATACATAAGTAAAGATTTTAATAAGCCTCACACAAACAGGCACATGCCTACTCGTTCCTCCAAATTCTCAGAGCTCTTGCATAAAACTTCTTTTATATTTGTCTTAGTCCCTGAAGTTACACATATCTTAAAGTTAAAAAAGATAGACTTGTTAATAACACACAAATGTTCATAGACATAACATCTTTACAGATATCCTCTGTGAGCAGATCAAGCCACTCTCCATATGTATTTAAATGTAGTGGAAGGTTGGAGTTTTTAAGTTGTCAGATCCATGCCTGGGTAAGAGGGGCTCTATTTTCACTCTTCGAGCAGCGAGAGATTAGCAGCTTGAAATCACTTTGACAGTTTCAGTTACTCTATTGCATACCACAGGGAATTTTAATTCCAACCTGTGAAATTGTAATTGCTTCTCAAGAAGAGCGGAAGGATTCTGGGTAATGGCCACAGCCAAGCTCAATGTCAGAGTTGCCAGTTCCTGCCACTTCAGATATTACTTGCTGTTATTCAAAAATCACTCCAGCTTTCCATGTGGGAAGTAGAACTGGGGAGCGAAACTAAATTAACAGAAGCTGTCAGATGTTCAGAGATGTGCAGGCAATGATGTGATAGAGGTGGATGAACTCTCCTCAAAAGGTACCTTCTCCTTTATCTCTCCAGCTTTATAGAACAAGCTTTACATAGACCACATTTTTTATTTCATATTCTTTTTCTAAACAAGTATAATAGAAAGCTACAATGAAAAGATTAAATGACAAAGTCCTCCAGCATCCAAACCCATGCACAAGTAGGACATAAAAAGTGTGCACTTAATGTTGTTCAGAAGAGATTTAAGATGTCTGCTCTTCCAAGTCTTGTGGTTTGCAAGATTCCTCACTGAAAACAGCCAAAGAGAACTCAGAGTTACCACAGACATTTAAGAAAAATAGTTGAGGCTTCCTCGGTACCAAAAGGAAATCAGATTATTTAAAAAAAAAAAAAGGCATTGAATGTAGTTTGCTTATTAGCAGACATTCTCCAGTGATGAGTGTGTTCACCCACGTTTAAGAGTGAGATCAATTGACTGTGGGGAAACAACTTCTGCAATGACCTTATTAACTTGGAGTGCAGTAGATTTTTCACCCATCCTGATGGCTTGTAAAGAGAGAATACTTGGTGGAAGTAGGCCTCAAACATAATGCTGATGTAAAAATTAAAAATGCCACCTGGCATGGCAGTTAGAAGCACTCAGGGAGCCAAATGGGAGCAAAAATCACAGATCAAATGTGTTCAGGTCAACCCATTCCATGAAGTAGATACACTTCCACAGTTTACTCTACACTCACTGAGGTTTCCCAGCGGCCTTCAACAGCAGCCTCAAGCAGCATGCAGTTTGGGTTTTGCCTGAAGGTCCAGATGAACTGTTTGACCAGAATTTACTTGTTCAGCTCAGTGGCTTTGAAAGCTTTAGTTGCAAATAAACAGAAACAAATGACAGTCTACTGCTCTACAACACAAAGTGTCAAAAAGCCCTCTCAAAATCTAAAAGAGGATAATAAAATACTTGATAAACACCACTTCCTACTCATCAGATTAAAGCTCAGTTTAAGAATATACTGCATCTGTGGGCAATGTAATTTACAAAGTCTTCTTCGACCTCTTTGCTGGTGATGCATATTGCATTATTTCTAAGAAAATAAGCTGGTCCCATTAAAGCCAACGATGCACAGAATCTAAATCACAAGCTTCGTATATCTCTGTAACAGCTGATGCAATGAGTCTGTAATTGCTACGATTAGATAAGCTAGAGTGGCTGACAGAGAGAGTGCTAGAGGCATAGAGCATATCTGCATAGTTTATTCCCATCAAATGCAAAAATTTGGCTCAGATATAATGATTTTGCCAACGCACAGTTTTCCTGAGAATCTTGTGATATGTGGTACTTTCCCGAACATTTTAGCTCCCAGAGTCAAGTGGGGTTTTTTCGAGAATTTCAGATTTGTTAAAAATGTAAATTACTGATTGTTACATATTCCTGGTTGTAAAGAAAAGCCTGAAAAAAATCCCAACAGAAGCAAATAGCACAGTTTTTTTCGTTTTTTTTTTTCTCCTTAAATCTCATGAATTTTGAGTCTTGGCTCATGACCTTCAGTGGTTGCAATAAGAAATATAATATTCAACTCATTACACACCTAATTTCCTGAAGACAGTTACATTTGTTGTTATAATTTACAGGCTGTACTGAAAGCATCATGGTGGAACCTCCTGATTAATTGCCTGTAAATATTATGAATCCTCAGTTTATAAAGTACAAAGCATTTCTCCTAGGGGATTATTCATCTGCACTGTAGAGCCACTGTACTGGTTTTGGCTGGGATAGAGTTAATTTTCTTCATCATAGCTGGTATGGGGCTATGTTTTGGATTCATGACCAAACCAGTGTTGATAACACAGGGATGTTTCAGCTGTTGCTGAGCAGTGCTTGCACAGCATCAAGGACTCTTCTGTTTCTCACACTGCCCCACCAGCGAGCAGGCTGGGGGTGCACAAGAAGTTGGGAGGGGACACAGCTGGGACAGCTGACCCCAACTGACCAAAGGGATATTCCATACCATATGACATCATGCTCACCAATAAAAGCTGGGGGTAAAGAGGAAGAA